TCTAAACGCTCAAACGCCTTTGAGAAGTCCAGGTAAAGGACATAGACTCCTGTTCCACCATCAACTATTTCAGACCAGCTACTGCGTGCAATCAGCAGGTTCGTAGTGCATGAGCGCTTTTGTCAGAATTCATGTTGCTCTGGTACTCCCATCTTGTGCCTTTCCAGTTAGTTCATGAGTGTATCAGCGACGGTAGACTTTATAACCTTGGAAGGCACATGGAGTAACGTTATCGGACGACAATTGGTTGGGTCAGTGCGACTATCTCCCTTATGAATAGGATTGTTGATCGCTAGCTTCCTCATTGCTGGAATATGATTCTCCTCCAGACAGCGCTGATAGAAAATAGCCAGAGGTTCCGTCAAATAACTGGCTGCTGCTTTTAAAGCATTCGGTCGTACCCTATCGACACCAGGAGAGCAGTGGATAGGAAGGAACAACAGTTTCTTTAACACAGTCTTTGCAGTAATATTGCTATTAGATAAAGCTGACGGCGAGACAGTAGAAACAGGGATAACCGATGGGTCCGTTGCTATCTGGAACGTTTGTGAGTAACGGAACTGCAAGAGATCGGCTGCTTCCGTTTGCAGATCGCGTGAACCTACCAGTCGCGATCAGTGTTGGACTTCCGCGTTGCACCTTACGAAAGCCATTAACATGCCTGTATAAGAGTTTGCGGTTCTTGCAGGGTCTCTTCATTAACCTACTGACGCATCACCTTGTCCTCGCAGGTTCAAACAGAATTTACGCTGTGCCACCTAGGCAGTTCAAGGTACGGAATTCGAGGAGTCTTTGTGAGCTTTCATGCTAAGTCTCTCAGGACATTCATTTGCGTGTTCTGCTGCAGAAGTCATTTCTGAACTTCTGCTTTGACGACGGAAGGATTTCTATTCAGAAGCTTGCGTTACCAGTGTGGTAAATGTCTTTGTTAAAGTGTCCCAGGCGATTTCGGGGAATTCACTTAAGAAGGTCAAAGATAACTCCTTAACAAGCGCGGATAGCACGTTTTAGTGCGTGACCGTATGCACTTTATCATCCTGTTCCTCAGGATATTCCGCATCACATACATGGTTAAACAGAAGAGTCACATGGTCACTGAGACCGAATGGTGTGCTTGTAAATATTCCGTCGACCATGAGTTCTTCGTTAAGGAGCACAAGATCAAGTCTCGACGGCTTGTTATCAGTTCGAAAGCAAGTTGGTGAGGTCACGTGGTTTTACAGACGGTAGCTGGAAACTACCTCTTGTAAACAGGCTTTGGACTGCATGCTATCGGTCACTGCCACTTCCAGATCATGCAGATTAAAGTCGCCTGCGCTAAGGATGTGACTGTATGCCTTACTCAAAGCGACCTAAAGAACGTGGTTCAGTTGGGATTCCATTTCTGATGTAGAGTTTAGTGGGCTGTAAATCAGAGCTTCAAGAAATGTCTTTGTTCGGCAAACCTAGCCGGCACCAAAGCGAATCTGGGACACGGATCTCTGGGTGGTCAATAACTTCACATCGGAGGTTAGCCTTGTAATAAAGAATTATACCACCACCTCTTCCAACTCTGTCATTTCGAAGCAGTGACATACCTGGTAAATAGACTTAAGAATCAGATATTTCAAGACTTAACTAGTTCTCCGTATTCACAATGAGATCCCGCGGTTGTGACGACTGGCGTTCTTTAACTAACTTATTGCGACGACCTTGGGCGTTAGTATACAAACGTGATAGTGTATTTGATGTTCGAATGGTGTAAGTGGACAGCAAATTTGTGTTTAGTTTTAAGCCGACAGTTTTTCGGTCGGTCGCTAATCGTTTTTTGCCTGGGTTATTGGTTCTTGGATTTCAGGCAGACTGCATGGTAGCATGAAGCATCCCAGATCGAGATGTTCTCACCTGTGTCTCCTTGTCCCGTCAGGTGTCGCTGAGGCTATATTGTATACAACTCTGCAGGATTGTGTAGGCAAATATTGTGTTGTGCTTGCATGTTCCAATGAAGTGCTGAAAGCTGGTGGCCGTGCATCTGCTATCTTTAACCTAGTCTCGGTAGGCAACCTGGCGCGGTACTTCAACCAGCTATCCAATAGGACTCATTTCATCGGAGTGTAGCACGACGTTCAATACTTTTGGACCGCAGCCTTTGTAGTTTCGAGATGAAGGAATTCTGGGTAGTGATTTAGCGATGACATGGTCCAGAGAGAGTACTTTGCGGATGTAACACCACTGCTCACGGTCATGTGTTTGAACTTCTTGATCAGGAGAGCCCAATAGTTAAGGAACACCATGAACAAATACGGTTTTATTGCTTTTGTTTACAGAAGCGCCGCCACAATTTTCTGTTTCCCTTGACCGTCCTTTCCAAGAAATACCCGGTAATATGCGTAACTCACCCGATGCGTTAAGAAGATGAGCTGATGAGAGTAGGACTATCTACTTCATTAATTTCATTCCCAATCAGCAGGCTTAGGCTACTCTAGAAAAACACCAGACGTCGACAGTTCGACCTTCTGAGTCTCGTCAGTGGTACGCCCTCCAGCCATCTATCGACCACGCAGGTCCGTGGCTGTCCCACATGGCAAAGTGGCATTAGCTGTTGGCATCCTAAAGTCTTGGGGTGGAACCCGGCAGGGGCGCACTGGAAAACGCGTCACTGACGAGACCCAGAATGTCAAAACGCCGACGTCTGGTGCGTTTCCAGACTAGCCTAAGCCTTCTGATTAGGAGTGACGATGATGAATTAGCTGAAGTGTACCAAAATCCTCACTACTACTCATCAGTGAAGTAGCACTGTCTGTCTCCTCAGTTGCATTCAAGTTTACTCGAAGAAACCGGGGTTCGCCACAGTGCACTGAAGTTGGGTGACAGGCTACGCGTAGTAGCCCAGTTGCCTCCACCCGAATATCAATAGCATCGAACATGGAATGCCACTGGTTGCGATCAACTACCAACTTGCCCGTTATTATGCCAAATCTGGACTCAGGAACGTTAGTGCACACGACAGTTAATGCACTGCGGTTCTGGTTAGCGAAGGTCGGTTTAAGTCTTTTGGCTGATAACTTAGATTGTTTGGCGGGCACCAAAGAACTTTGTGAAAATGGCGTCGCATCGCTCGTGTTTGGTCCAACAAATGGACGCACGGGTGTCTCGTTAGGCGCTTATATCAAGGCGATCGATGCGTGTGTTCCTCGGCTTTGGGCCGCCGGTGTCGGTGTTGTGACCAAGTCATGCGATATGTCAGCTAGGGATGAGTTAATAGCCGTCACGCCGGATGTGGCTTGCCTACTAAAAGGGGTAGTAATTGTCGGAGTAGGTGGCGGGCAGTTAGCAAGTCTGACTTTAGCCTTCGATTTAGGGACGGAGCTCTGAGGGGTTTGCTATGCAGCAAGATCGGTATTGTTAGATTCTAGTAGCACAGCCCTGAAGCTCGCCTTCTGCTGGACTGTTTCAGTCAGTGTTTCACCTTTTTTCACGCACGATATGATACATTGGACTATTGGGCTTGCTCTACACGTTTGGCTAAACCAGAGCGAATCAGTCAGATTGATTTGTCTCTTGGATTGTAGTTGACTAACACCAGCACAGAGGTAATGGAACGGAAGGCCGCAAACTTCACAAATAATGATTAGGCTAACTGGGCGGGTACACTTCTGCTAACCACCTTGCGCTTAATTGGATGCAAGGACCATGAGGGCCGTTGTTGCAAACGAACGCTACCTTGTCTGATCATATGTGGTAGAGGGCGAGTGACGCTCGTGTTCTTTGTCCCAGTCGCACTCCCCATATCGGTTACCGTAGGTGAGTGTGCACGAAGAGGACACAGGTACATGGTGTTTGACTAGCTTACTGATCCACAGTATTTCCTGTAGGACAGTGCCGTTGGAAGTGGCTTATAGTGGGTGGATGACAGCGAAAAGTGTCTGCGATGGCCAAATGCAACTGAAACCACATACTGAGTCGTACCTTCCTTAGAAACGATACTTTGGATGTAATTCTAGGATCACCAGCTAGCGCAAAGATTCCTTGACCCATTACAGTACCGCGGCAGTGAAAACTTAAAACCAAGTGACGCGTCTGAATAGAAGCACGAAGCGCGCTAAAACAACTTGGGTAGCACAAATCACTTTCCGTAGGAACTGATTCTGTAAAAATACGCCCGCCGATTCGAATGAGTGTAGGATGACCGCACTAGGTGAAGAGGAAGACCTGAAACTCTGTGACAGAGGAGAGCACATTTACTATGCGATCAGTCAGGTGAATGCCAGTAACGTGTAAGCTCTCCAGTGCATGCTGAATCCGTATCGACTCCACGTGGCTTTGCCCTTGTGATGTGCCATAAATTTTACTTTGAAAATAATATTTCCTCTTGCCAGTATGTATTTTGCTCTCTTCTCTGTGTTTAACTAGCTTTCGACTCTGGAGGTGAGCGAACCAGCATGCAGTGCAGCACTGGCTATTTGTGGTATAGAAATCAAACGACAGGACATTAGGACTATTGTATTGTGAGGTATTTTGGAACGTGTTTTTGGATAGCCACTGCCATTCTGATTACCTTTACACGGAATGCGGTGTTCACAACCAAACCGTTGTAGTCACATTAGCAAACGGTTTGTTTCCTTAATAGTCTCTAAGGAGCTATACGATCGGTGCAACGTGATACATTTCCTCTCTCACAAAGATCGCATTCAAATGATTTGATGCTCCTCAATTCGTATCAGTGGGCCTTTGTTCGGTTCACAGGCCGTTTGTGACTATATGGCTTGTATTTCCTTGACTAGTTTTCCGTGTAAATGGTTTATGTTACGGTCTGTGGGTCCCAGTTTCCCGCTCTTCCCGTGACAGTATTTCCTCAACTAGATGGACAGAATTGCCGAGTAAAACAATAAGCGGGGTCCTCCTCCTCCATTAGCTGTAGTCGTCACATCACATGCTACTTGCATTCAGCGCCTGTATAAGCTTCCACTTGAGTATAGCGTTCTTCATTCTCTGTAAGTTCTCCATGTGACCTTATTAGTGAATTAAGGCCTGCTTTCGATTGTACTACTGTGGTTGTCCGCCTGTGTCATCTTACCGATCAAAATCGATTAAAGCTTCTTGGACTCGCGTGGACTTTTAGCGAGTGCCAATGCACATGCTGATCCGTCACGTGGCGTGACATGACATACTTGGCAGACATATGCGAGCAAACACGATTGCGACCACTCGTGAGCCACTGAAATTTTCTTTGCTTGCATGTATGGTGACGTACAAGTGCGCCACACATCCTATTAATGAGGCAGATCCGTAACCAGTGCGTTCACTTGCCATAGATCCAACTGCTGCGCAGACGACGTACCTTTTCATGCTTAGGCCACAAGCTGGATCGAATAATAACTGGGCGCCGGATGCCGTTCCATCTGGATTCGTCGTTAAACCAAGACCGACAGTACCTAATAAACCTATTTTCAAGAGAGCGTGTGAATTGTTATCAGTAGTTCAGTGGACTACAGGTTTTCTATTTATGGGAATTTCGTGTTTTGTCATATTCGTTTACCTTATGTACAGCATAGGAAAACACATCCTTCTGCTAGTTTTGTTCACTGTCAGTGTTCCGTCACGCGGAAGATCCGCGCTTGAAGTCATGCAATGGAGCACCTGTGAGGCTTGCTATTTTGCTCTGACTGCCACTTTGACCACATGTTACATCCGACATTGGCAGCATGATTTGGGTGCGGAAGAGCGTGGTTCCCATCCATGGAAGACCATGCGACACTTGAACATTTGGGAACAATTGGCCAACTATTTTCCGATTCAACTGATTCTCAGTGAAGAGCTGTTAGAATGTGTCGAATCGAGGAGAAGGACGACAGTGTCAGCTGGTGATTGGCAACCATACACAGTTGCCGGATTACCTGCAGATCGGAACTACTTGGTCGGTTATCATCCCCACGGAGTGTTCAGTACTGGAGCATTTGTTAATTTTATGACCGAGGCTAATGAATTTTCCAAGGTGTTTCCTGGTTTAACTCCTTGGCTGGCTACACTCAAAGCCCACTTCAAATCTCCGTTCTATCGTGAATACCTCATGTCATTGGGTAAGCAACCTTATAATGTTCCCTCTTTATTGTGTCTATTCGCACCACAAGTGCAGAGTACCACCACTTTTACACAAGCCATGACGACTGAATTTGAAGCGAAGGGTTAAAATATTGTCCACGGTACTCGTAAGAATGGTGTTCATATTTGGCTATAAATGTCATATTGCTGCATGTATTTGCTTCCACAACAAACGCCTTGCACGCAGAATTCCCCTGAGGCGTTTACTAGAAGATAATAGCCGACATTACATTGTCCTTATAACGATAGCTGTATCTATATGAAAGTACTGTGGTTCGTTTATTGTTTCGGCTTATGCTGAAGAACGACATCGCTGACTACGTAGTACCATGCAGTATGACATATGAAACGTGCAACTCCCGCAGGTTCAAGATGGTGATCTATTCGATTAATTTGGCTAGACGTTTACGTTCAGTACTTATTTATATTACTGAATATGTGTGAACGGATAGTGTGCTTCCTAAGTCCTAGTAGTAGACAGTTACTGTTGTGAGTCATCTTCGGGTGTGATAAACCGAGGGCTACTGGTCAGCTAGGTGGATTGGAATAAATACCTATGAACTAATTTGTCTCAGTAATCAGGGTTGGCAACGACGGTTATTAATACTCGCATTTAGATTCCATATTGACTGCGCAGACCTTTGCTAGGCTTTATAACGTGCTAATATCACAGAAGTTGGAGGTTCCTTTGGCTTCTTCAATCAAAGGTATCTCATTCATTCCATTGCGTGGTTTGTCTGTAGAACTGGGAAGGCCAAAGATAGATTTCCAAACATGGACAAAGGTAGCCAAATAGTTGATTGTTTCAAGCGCCAAGCAAACACAAATGTTTAACCAAAGGGGTATTAGGAATTCTCATTTGTTAGTTTTGTGCTTTGGCCGTTTGTAGGGAAAAGCTGCACCTGGCTACCCGTCAGCGAGATGATACAGCCAGTACAATGGATCACTGTCAGGCCCAACTCAGTCTAAAAAATAATTGCAATATATATATATATATATAGTGGATTCCGGTTAATCGGACCACATCGGGACCAGACCATTTTGGTCCTATTAAGCGGCTGATCCGATTAACCGAATTTACCCGATGTAACAAGATGGGACGTGCTATACATAACATAGGAAACTACTATTATGACCCTTATTGGCGGCATATATTTATAGCAAACACACACAAATGAACTGCTTTGATAACGAACTTTGTTCACTGAAAAAGAACTTTACAAACAAATTCTACGTAACGACCTACAAGATATTCAGCATGCAAAGTACAGTTTTATACAAAGGGATAACCGATTCCCATTCAGCGCTTGAAGACTGTATCCAGTGTGGTTTGACGAATTATTTTAACAGACTGCATTCGCACAAAATCACCACAAACATGTAACGCAGTAATAGGACTACCTTCATTTCCTTCCTGCATGAAATAGTGGTGCAATGTTTCAATGCATTTCCTTGCATCCTGTTTTGTGACTGGCATCAACATGTTAAGGTTCTCTTCATCACTTCCATGGTCTTCTGTTGCTGTCGTGTGTTTCGTTGCTATTCGAGCAACAATGGCAGCATCGCATTCTTCATCTCCATTATAGAGTTGAAGTTCGTTGTCGATCGACAAAAATTCTTCGTAATTTTCAACTTGTTTCTGCTCCACATTCTCGCCGTCATTTTCATTTACAATGACCATATCCACATCCATCTCCGAGACAATATGCTTAAAACCACAGTGAGAAAAACAGTTCCGAATTGTCGCACTGCTCATTTTTCGCCAACTTTCGGCCACGAATGTAACGGCCTGCAAAATGTTGACCTTTGCACTGATTTCTCCGGCCGTCGAGGATGAGGTCAGCAAGCCTTCCTCAATGGATTCAACCTTGAACGATAAAAGGTCTTCAAGTTTTTTATGATGCCCATGTCCATTGCCTGTTTCAAAGATGTGGTCTTGGGAGGCAGAAATTCCATTTGGATATTCTTCAAGAAATCCAAATTTCAATGCGCTGCACAATTGTCGAGAAGTAATAACACTTTTCTCGACTGCCGTTGTAGCTCTGTGTCCCAATCCTTCACCCATTCTTTAAAAAGTGTAGAGCTCATCCATACATTTCTGTTCGCACGATACACAACTGGTAAACTGTCAATTCTGACTCCCTTAAAGCAGCGAGGCTTAGCACATTTTCCTATAACCAGCAACTTCCCCTTGTCTGTTCCGGACATGTTTGAGCAGCACAAGACAGTTACGCGGTCCATTGCTTTTTTGTAGCCAGAGAGAGTAACATGTTTGTAACTTAAGGAGCCGTCCGGTGTAGCCCTATAGTACAACCCGGTTTCATCAGCACTATAGATGTCACCTTCTGGAAATTTTTCAAGAAGCTCTGGTAGTTTCGTTGATTTCCATTCTTCAGCTCGAACGCTATTAGCACTTTCTTCCTCACCATGTGGTTTCTTAAATTTTACATCATGTCTAGATTTCCATCGAGACAACCAGCCGTCCGTAGCTATAAAATCTTCGTGGCCCAGCATTTTAGAGAGTTCTTCTGCTTTGTATTTTAACATTGGGCCACTTGCTCGCACGGCTCGTCCAGTAACAAAGGCAAACCAATCATTAAGGGCCTCATCGACGTCTGGATCCTTGCCTTCACTCTTCCGTTTTTGGGAAGTACCTCGTCGTCCTTCACATTGTGCCCATTCTGCTCGCAGATCTTTCTCTTCTTTTATCAGGCGCGATATTGTAGATTTTGCCAAGCAGGTAATTTCCACCAATCGACGCTGACTAGTGGTTGGTCCCTGTTCCTTGATCTGATCTAGGAAAAGAATCTTCTCAGCAAACGTCAAGTCCCGTCGTGGAATTTTCTTAACATGCAACATGACACGCACAGTTCACTGAGGTGAACTCCAGTCTGTCTCCCGGGTATTTCTATGGTTGACCTAGCCACCTGCTGTCCTATGATTTGCCGGACCTGTGTCCGCGATCACTTGCGGTGCTCGAGCGTAGGCCCGCAATGCGGGCTCAGGGCATTCGGCTCAATGGACGCGCGGTACATCGATCGAACGGTTAACGATATATGAACAAGCAAGTGTTGGAAACTACAGTCAGTTTCCGGGGGTTCTGAAGCCACTTACATAGATGTGCCTCAAGGTTGCCACAGTTCAGTTTATCCAAAGGCCAACTCGGATTACCGTAACTGAAGGATACGCTTTCTTGTCCGACATATGAAATGTGGATTTAGTCCAGAAATCCAGGCCCATAATTTGATTTTAACACCTCTGTTACCTGCCACCTTCTATCGTCTGGTCCGATTAAGCGGAATTCCGGTCCTAATAAGCGGCTAAAATTAGGCTAGCGTAATAGGATTCGTTTCGGTTCTTCAGAATTTGGCCCGAATAAGCGGCTGGTCCTATTAACCGGTGGTCCTATTAACCGGAATCGACTGTATATATAATGGTTAACGGCATCCGATTACGGATGGGCCTGTCACTGTGGCCTCTACTGGGACAGTCACAGGACGCCTGCGCCTACAGAGGGACCATGGGTGGCTTGCGCTGCACCACCCACAGCTCCAACCACACACCCATATCCAGTGTAAACCCGAAGGAATAAGACCGGGAGTCATGTGGATGAGAACCAGGTTTCATCAACGGAGCCGGCCCACACTCTTTCACAGGCAAACACAAACACACTGTATTGGGGGATTCAATCGCACACAAGGCGGTGGCTGGACCGTAGTCCGCTCCACACTGAGTGGATGGAACCACTCTTCGAGCCTAGCACGGCCACGAGGGCCGTGCACGCCGTCCCCTACAGCTACCACCAACTGTCTCCTGGGGCCAGTGTGGACCAGGTAGCGGGTAATAGACAGGTAGGTTCCTTGTCAACATGCACATCAAGCGCAGCCACACCGGGGACGTCAAGCAGCACCCAATCACCTGAAATGAAATGTCGAAAAAATAGATGGAATACACCGTACGGATATGACGTTGAAGTAGCATGTGAAATAAATGGATTATCAACATAACCGTGATAGATTCAGGATGGCAGAAAAATCAATCAAGCCACCTATGTAAAGGAAGAAAATAAAAAGAGAAGTTTACCACCTTCACTTCCAGCGAAAAGTGACTTTTAATAGATTATTCAGGTACACATTAAAAGGAGGGAACAACCTAACACTAAGACAAGGCAACAAACCCACTACCTAATATAAAGAAACCCAGCAAGCAAGCACACCGTTAGTAAATCAAAAGCAGCGTACCTACCAATGCTGCGCCGGTTCTGCTTACGTTCTCAGCAGCACCCGTCCTCTTTTCGATGCTGGTCCCGAGTGGCATCGCTCATGGCTCACTAGGCCTGCCTGACTCAAGCACACGTGACCGCATGTGCCACAGCACCATGCTCTCGACATCAATGGAGTACAGCCCATCGGCGCCTGTCGCTTCCGCAACCGCCGCTTCTTCTCTGCATGCACGAGGGCTTTCTTCCACACTTCGTCAACTGCCTTACCGATCAGATCGCGCATACACGCCGATCTACCGACATCGATTCCCATGACCTGCAAGCAACATTAGAATGTGATAGGCTCACACTGATCATTCCTGGTAATGTAACCGGTTTTCCCACGTGCCCTTTCCTTGCAATCAGTTGGCCATAAAGCATCTGTTTCGGTATCCGGATCGAATCCATGCGGCGACTATGCCCGAGCCACCTCAGGTGCCTCAGCAGAATTATGCAGTCCACTGCATATATGCCACCGCGTCGGAGCACCTCCGAGTCTGTAACTCAGTCACTCCAGCCGATGCACATAATGTGGCACAGACACTGCTGATAGAAGCGCTCCAGATAACAGACATCAATCCCATAAAATGTCCAGGTTTTGCTGCCGTATAGTAGAACGGACAGTATCATAAACTTATGTACAAGCAGCTTCGGTCCAACAGTGCAGTGGTGCTTGTTCCTCACACGGCATTCCAGCTTGCTAAAAACAGCAGCCGCCTTCGATACGCGGCTGCGCAGCTAGCTCGTCATCTGCTGGTCGGTTGTTATTACGCTACCAAGCTAGCAAAATCTCGAAGTGGTTTCCAACACTTCGTCACCGATCTGGATTTTGAGCAGACCCACGGACTCCGTTCCGGGAGAAGGCTGGAAAAGACAAACAGTCCTGTTTGTGTTGATGGTGAGTCCGAATTTGGCCGCTGTCCAAGCCAGTGCACTAGTCATGCACTGCAACTCATCCGCGCTATGCGCGAACAACGCACAGTCGTCGGCAAACAGAAGCACACGGATTGTTTTCTCACAGACTAGAGTTCTCGCACCGAAACGACGGATGTTCAGCTACCCACCATCAATACGGTGCTCCACACGAACACCGTAAGCACAAGCCGCATGACATGTACAATATGTCATGGCATGAAGGTAATTATTAAGCATGGCTGGAGTTGACATAGCCTTGGTTTATCCCAGAGACACCTGAAAAATCATCCGAGGTCTCTCCACTCAGCTGCACCCTCGCTCGCATACCACTGTGCAGACATACAATTAAACTTACAAACTTGTTCGGACAACCTAACTTACCCAACACCAGCCACAATACCACGCGGTGCACCGCGTTAAATGCGTTGGTGGAGTCAACGTACAGCGAGTAAAACGACTGGTGTAGTTCTCTACAATTCTCCTGCAGCTGACGAGCCGCAAACACCATATCTATAGTACTGCGACCCGAACGGAATCCCCATTGCTCTTCCGCCACGTTAGGTTCCATAACCTGACTGACGAGGCGGTTGAGCAGGATTCGCGCAATGACCTTGCCCACACAACTCAGCAAGTTGATGCCACGATAATTCGTGCAACATTGCTTGCTCCCTTTGCCCTTTTACAGTGGCAGCACAAGCGCATCTTTCAGCTCAGGAGGAACCTCCACTATAATCCAGAGGCGTTGCACCAAGTGAGGTAGCGCATTCATCAACGCTGATCCGCCTTCTTTTAATACTTCAGGCGTGATCCTGTCGGTACCGGCACACTTACCATTTCGCAGCTGAGCAAGTGCTCTCTGCGTCTCATCCACGGTCGGCGTGTCTGCCAGACTCATCTTTACCTAGTGCTGCTTCAGGCCGTTCAATCTTGGCCAGTCAATCTCTGAACGATTGTTCAACAGACGAGCAAAGTGATTTCGACAGATATACATTATGTCTGCAGTCTGTGTACAGGCAGCGTCTGAGCTATCATCGAGCAGCTTCCTCAGCAACTCCAACCTCGGTCCATACACCGCCTTCAAGGAGTCAGAGAATTCCTTGTGTTGGCGTCAGTCGGCATGGCGTTCCACCTGTTTTGCCTTCCCCTTCCACCATGCATTCTTAATGTGATGGAGCCCACGAGTCAGTCGCCATCGAAATGTGCAAAGCTAACACTCCTTCCGCAAGTCACTGGGGTCTGCCACATGTGCAGCAAATGCTGCATTCTTAGCGAACACCAATGAGCTAATCATCACATTATTCTCGTCAAACCAATCGGGCCGCTTACAGTTTGCACTCCCGATGGTCTCTTCATCAGCAGCTGTCACCTGGTCGCGAATGTGGTGCCACAGGCGTTATGCCATCACCTTCTTCAGCTCAATACGTTTCGCCACAGTACCGAAGGAATGTTAAATTTACGCAGATTCACGACAGGAGTGCAAGACATTGAGTTACGTAAATATATGCACAGTTTGGTCCGCACCAATTTGTGGTCAGTAACACAGTCCGCTCCATGCAGTACACGTGTCATGTGCAGTTCACGCATTTCATGCTGACGTACGATGACATAGTCGAGCAGGTGAGCGTGACCACTCCGTGGGTGCGTCCAAGTTGGTATATCACTCGCACTCATTGTAAACCGAGTGTTCGTACTCGCCAAGTCTTGAGTGGTACACAGTGAGAGCAGCCTGTCACCGTTCGTATTCTCTGAATCAATGCTATACGGACCGATGATATCTGTCAACACCAATACATCACCTCCAACACGCGCGTTGAAATCACCTAGCAGATATAGTCGGTTACTACTCTGCACCGACCGTATCACGGAGGAGAACTGAGTATAGAATTGATCACGTGTGTTATCAGGATAACAGATGGTCGGACTGTACGTGTTTATAAAAATGGCAAAATCACCACTTCCGAGTAGCTGGCGAGCATTTACCAGCCGCGCGCGCATAGAGGACATTTTTCGACCACCGCGCACCACGCAAGGTGCTTCCGTTTGGTCTCACATTCACGCCCCCGACTTCAACCGATCAGTGAAGTCACTGTTCGCCGACTTGCCTTCGTATCCGCTTCTGCACGTCCTTTTCTGATCGCACTAGATTCGTTCTAATACCTTTGACTTGCGTAATCGAGGCTGCGTTGATCTCTTCATGCTTACTCCTGGAGGCGCGGCTACGCGCCGCCGGGCTTTCCACCACTACGTCCCCAGCTCTTCTCGGCCTAGGTCTGACATCGTTTGTCCCTCGTTGATCACTTCCGGTTTGTTCCGTAAGCCTCGAACTGCTTTGTCGACTTTCGTCCCCGGTGTTATTATTTTTCCTGTTCCTTAGTTCTCGCGACCAGTCCGTTCCGTCTGTGATTCTTGTATCCCGTGTCACTACAGCATGATGGACCTATACATCTCGATAATTGAGAGCTTTGAATCATTAATCAAAACGCCTTTTCTGGAATGTGTAGTTTGCATGTGCACTAAACCAGTGATTGTCTGAGGTTCACTCAGCTCCTTTATACCGCTGTCTTAGACAGCAGAGTTGTCGAATGTTTATACGATTACCTACTGGGGACCGAGATGTGGTTTGTTTTTCAGTGCCTTGCTGCCAATATGCTATTCGACGACTCCGTTCGTCTTCATTTAGACTCGTTAGGCAGAGATTACCGGAAATGGGAGTCGGAGTGGAACCCGGGTAGTGATGGTTGTCGGATGATCCCTTGGTCTCAGCAACAGAAATGGCCAAGGCATACTTCATAGTAAACTGACGTCCCAGTAGAGATGGCGCATCAAAGTTCAAACACACGGCGAGTGTTTTAAAACGCATCACTGAGGCCTGGGTTGCTTAGATTAACATCACAAATAGGACTCCTTTTTAGTTGTGTAGTCTGAAGCATCGAGCTTTTGTATACCAGTTGGCCACCTCTTGCAACAACACAGCTTCTTAATTAAGGTTGTCACTTGACCGGGCGAACGTAGGGAGGGTAGTCTCAAATATTTTCTTGATAACAATATACTCCTTGTCTGACGGCAACCAACCTGTGTATTCACAAATATTCATTTAGGATTATCAGTAAATGGCCTAACTTGTACGGGAAAACAGCGTTGTTTGCTTTAATGAACAAGTTGATAAACCACTGGCTTTGCATTCACATACTACACCTGAAGTGTGCGTGTTAGCATTTTAAAAATATAGTCCTCTTTCTTAAAGCTGATGAATCTCTCTACTTGTGCAATTTGCACTGTGACCACCCTCAGGAATGGTATCAGCATCCAAACGCAGCCTTCAATATCTCCTGGATGAAAAAGAACGCAAGTGTACGGGAAATTTTGTGATTGTTGTGGTCGGCGGAGCAACAGAAGCATTGGAAGCCCATCCCCGTCACTATCGGATGGTGGTTACTAAACGTTTCGGGTTTTTCAAACTGGCTTTACAAACTGGGTGCGTTGACCATTACTCTGTTCAGTCACATCATGACTACCAACGTTCACCAATCCTTTGACGTGAAATATGGATTTACTAGGTTAATTTGAATGAACCTAAGGGGAAAATTACTCAGTAAAGTCCTTATTTGTTAACTGGATACCAGTGGTGTCATTTGTTCAACCGCCTTTCCTTAATGAGTGCGTTTCTTTCACATGACCGCTTCCAGCGTGGAGAATCGTGAACTATGGTAGCTTTGCATAGTCCCCAGTAAGGTCAGTAATTTTCACGATCATTCCGTTAACACAATGCAACCTCCCTAGGTGGTTTAACACCTGCCGTTTCGGAAGCATTGACATTAACTCATCGGTCTCGTTTATGCAACATTACTTTGAAAGAAACATTGTAAGGTTTGGAATTCTCCGTTTGGCTCACAAAAGTCGCAACAGCACTGTACGTGTAATTAGCAAATTCTGTCGGATTTACTTTTTCCCATCTTAACTGTTGGGTAGCAATCATACTTGTACTACCGTTCTTGAGTATTAGCCTCCAGCAATACTAACGATTGTTTATGGTTTTCTGGTGAAATATTTCACCGTCCTTTGCTCGTGCTAGATAACAAAATAGCAACAATTTAACGTGACACTAGTCTACGGACACTTGAATAATGAACGATGAACAATGCTTTATAACGAGCAAAAAATGCTCTGCTTGACAAATCTCATAGCATAACCAGAGTGGGGCTTGTAAAATGCTTGTTTAAAGTGACAGGAAAATAGGAAAATGCTGGTTTGAGGTGGCTTACCGAGTTGTTTCACATGAACGCATATTCTGGTCTGCTCACCGCTACGTAACGGAGAGCACACTGCTCTCAATGGAAACCGACTATGGCGTGTAAAACAAATGGGATAAAGTGTGGTCTAATGGTTTCTTACAAAGCCTTCATGTGTCTGCCGTGAGCAAAACAAAGTTTGTTGACTCCAGTACCTATCTTCGGATAGACTTGTTTCCGAGGAATGGGAAAGGCTGTATGGAATATTCACCCAATTTGCTCTAATTCCAAATCTGTGAAATATCTTCTGTCAAACATCGCCAGCCGGGCTCAGAGCTCACAACCAATACACGCGAGTGCGGTAGGTCATAACTGCACATGGCATATACGTCCTCGTAGAAATGTGTCGTTGCATGCCTGACTCTTAACCATGGGTAAACAATGCGGTCTGGCTTTGATTAACGAAGCTGATCCGCAAGCGCTCAACTGTGCTATGACACCACCCAGCTTAATGTATACTGGAGAAAAACGAATTATTCTTAAGCGGAACATGATGTCAGACGTTGGTGATCTTTTTTGCTGTTCAAAAGAAATCACTACCAGCGGATCCCAATGCAATGTCCTAAACTTTGCATAGACGGTGAATGTGTGATCTCTTCCCTTTAAATAAAATACCTGAGAGTGACACTGAACAATTGCTTAAAATGGTCCCTACACGAGAACGAAACATTCGCTAAAGGTAGAAGACCCTCAATTTATGTTACACATCGTAGGTTCTCTTCCGTACTCCATCTTTATTTGATCCGGCGTTTTGTCACTGCATGTGTGTTACGCCACTGGATCTTTTACTCCCCCGTGAGCTTTCCTGTTTTCCTGAGAAAGGACCACAAAATAATTGCCAGATCAGTGAAGCTTCTGTCCCGGTATAGTAGCATTTCAAGGCTAGCCATGTCAACTCATTTAACAAACACATGTAAAATACTCACGGATGTTAGCTATCCCCTCCACAGAGTGTTGTCTAAATACGCATTAACTTCCTCGACCAGGCAGAGCTACAAAACTATATTCGCACGCCTAAAGGCCAATGGTACATCAGTTGTTCCTCATCTGTCATGTTTTGTTAAACGATAAAAATTCAGTCATTCAGGAACTGGTTAGTAAATTACTCCAGTGATTTTGCCCTGTCAAGGATTTTAACGGTTGTGATTTTATATTTATCCTCATGTACCGCACGATTTCATTACTTGGCTTTGTCCGTGGCATGTGTTAGAGCTGAAAATTCACTTTTCTTCGGTGCATATTCTTGACGTGACTTAAAATTTGGCTGCTGTCACTGGACTTGTAACAGCCCATCAACTCTGTGACATCGATATAATTGTTCAAGGAAGGGGCACTGGTTACAGATAGTCCAGAATAATATTCACAAGCCTCCCCATCCACATTGGAAGGATCATTTTAAATCTCTCAGTGCATGAATGGATTGCGACGTGCAACCTCAGTGCGAGCCACCATTTACGTTGAACTTGGGTCATCTTGGTCATACGGACCACATCTGAAGGAACAGACGAATGTTAGGTCCTGCCTGCACTGCACTCCTCACTGATTTGGTGCGCGTTTGCATCCACCAGGTGGAGACAGCAGGATTGGGCTTCGAACCCATGACTGTCATGCAGACGGAGTCGTTCAGTGTCTGCTCACAGTCACAATGACAGGCGCTCCGGCGCATTGCTACAGCCGACTGACCTTATTATCGCGCGCTTAGAAATTTGCTTACAAGTTTTCTACTGCTGTATACATACGGTGTTCGATACGAGAGCTATGCACGAGAAACCAAGCTGTGCGCTGTTTCACTGAGGATGGATGTGATAAGGAAACAGGTGTGTTTGTTCTTCTACTAACAAATCTACCATGAGGAATAGGGCGGCGAATCGTACAGTTGGCCTTATGGTTTACCAGACAATTGGTTGAGATCGGGTTGACTGGCAATGCCTTCCAGAGAATATGACGAGTCCTCCTTGTCAGTAAACTGCTTGAGTTCTTGCAGTAAGTATTCCCTTAAATTCGCACTGGAATCTTGTACCTGTGCCCAAGAAGAACGGAGCGGTGCACTGTTTAGGTTATATCATCCGCTCATTAAGTGAACTCGGAATCTCTTCATGCTGCCTTCTCTGTTATGCCATAGAAACAGCTGATCAAACAGGCTAATGGCACTGGCCATTAATCGATGCACGTTACAGTTTGCCACTGCCACACGATATGTGAGATGAACACTTGTAATCAAATACGATTTGTCTGGAGTTAAATATGAGAGGCATTAGAGTTGGTTCTTGTTGAAACGCTATTGGACGCCAACCGAATGGTGTGCTTACTCCATTATTTATGCCATCTCTCCATGACCAAGAAGATTACCGTCCATCTCCAGGCGCAAATCATTTTAACAAAATTGTCGATTAACATCCGAGCTATGGGAAATGGTAGAGGCCGAACTTTGGAGCATGATGGAGATCGTGTGAAACATTAATGGATTACAACTATAAGCGCAGTGTAATGTGCGCCTCGGTTTTGGGCATATAACCGTACGGAATAGGAGAGCTGCTGAGGTAAAGGCTGTTCGGAGATGCTGATGGACTCCCTAGCTTCCCCTAAGAGCGTGGTTGATTGGATTCTGGTGAACAACCCTTTGTGTGTAGCCCGTCTAACTAGTTCGACCGCGCTTTTTTCACTAACTAGTACAAAACAGTGTTTGTTTGTGATTTACGCTTATGCTCCCACCGGCTGCAGTTCTGATGCTGCCAAGGACACATTCTATCATGAACTGAACGCGCTAACAGGCAGTGCTACTAGTTCAGATATTACAATGTTTACAGGGGATATGAATGCACAAGTAGGTAGCCTGAGCTCTTCAGAATCACAGCCAGGTAGTAAATCTGGGCTTAACCCCGAAGGGACAACTGCGAGCGTCTGTTGCAACTGTGTGCGGAGCACTAGTTGTTTCTTAATAGCACTGCTTTCAGACACACTCGGCGCCGAAGTGTCATTTGGCGTCCTCCTGTAGCTGGCCAGTGATGGACCCAAATTGACCACATTGCCATAAGTTACAGGTGGCGTGGTTCCATCCTGGATTGCCACTCGAACTGGAATACCTGCATCGACTCTGATCATGTTTTAGTTCACTGTCGTTTCTCCATGAACTTTACCGGGAGGAGCACCAAGCGTCTCCTCCGATTAGCAACTGAGAAATTGTCTCAGCCCTCGGACAGGCAAGCCTATCAAGACACACAGCGTACCGAATTTTCGCTGTCTTGTTCTAATGACACTGAGCTTCAGTGGAATAGGATGTCGGTCGCCATGCGTGAAGTAACAGCATCTACTTATGACACTATCAATCGCCTCCGCACCAGTCACTAGATACTCGAGAGGACGGTGAACCTGTTGGAATCCAGAAGAAACCTCCAGGCTGCGTCTGAGCACAAGGTGACCGACCGGATTATTAAGCGCGAACTAAAGCGGAGTGTACGTGCTGACAAAGAAACTTAGTGGATCAGTCGCGCTCAAAAATGGAGGAGGCTGGAGCAGTAGACGATTATCGCAAGATCTTCTAGCTGATCCGCACCACTGGTTCCAGGAAAGCAGGCGTCAGTGAGACAAGCAGAGACAGCGCGGGTGCACTGCTAGACAATAAGGAGCGTCATATGGCTCATTGGGCGGAAGACTTTCAAGACCAGTTCAGTTGGCCCTTGCTTCCGGAGCTCTTCCTACTCATGTGGTGCAGGGTGAGCCATAGTCGATTAGTTTAGAAACTCCACCGGAGGATGAGCTACGAAACGCGATCGTTGTCCTCAATCGAATTCGTGTCACTGGCTCTGATTCCCTGCCACCTGCACTTTTTGAGCACGGAGTTGAGGTCCCATGCAAAGCACCGACCTCATTTCTGGAAACATATATGGAAGGAAAAAACCGTCCCAGCTAACTGAAGTGATTCGATTATAGTGGCAATATACAAGTAGGGCAGTCGCACAGACTGTTCTGACCACAGGGGTTTTAGCCTAACGCCAGATGTGACAAAATTACTGGCCTCAATTCTCTTCCGTCACCTCAATGCGGAACAGTAATTCCGGATTAGGGAGCAGCAGGCAGGTTTCCGCCCAGGACATAGCTGTTCAGGCTACATATCCACTTTGAGGCAGGAGCTAGAGCAGCACAACGCATACCGCAGATCAACTATAACTGTGCTCCACGACTTCAAGCGTGGGTTTGATGCAGTCTATCGATGCACTCTTTTCGAAATACTTGCGTGGAAAGGTGATCCCACGAAATATGTGAACGTCCTTCGTACTCCGTACTCGAACACCTCAGGCAGCGTCAGGATCTATGGTGAATTATCGAATGTCTTTCCGACGACAAGTGGCATTCATCAGGATTGTTCGATTTCCCCAATTTTGTTCAATTTCGTCGGGGACTCCATCTGGGAGTGCTACCTTGCAGAAACTCACGGTGTAGGCGTTGAGGTGCCGCCTGGAGATGGGGTAGTTGAGCTTGATTATGCGGACGGTATTTTCTTGTTTTTAACGATGTTGAGTCATCGCAATCAACCCTTAGTAACCTGTGTAGGGTGGTTCCACTATTTGGTATACGCTTCACACCTTCAAAGTGCAAAATCTTGCTGCAGGACCACCAGCCACTTGAGGACCGCTTGACCCTTGCTAACGAGGAGCTCGGAGTAGATCAATTCACTTACCTTGGCCGCTGTATCAGCAACAATGGGTGTATAGTTACTAAGGTCAGTTCACGTATTGCAAAAGCCGGAACTGTCTTTGTGAACCTGCGACATCTTTGGCGACAGAAAGGCACTTCCCTCCTTCTAAAAGGCCGTGTTTACATAACCATAGTGAGGGCTGTCCTAGTCTATGGGAGTGGGACTTGGCCCCTTCTATCTGAAGATCTGAGGCGCCTTCAAGTCTTTGATCATCATTGTCTGCGGTGCATTGCTGGTCTCGGGTGGCCTCAGCGTGTCCGCAACCATGATGTGAGTAAACGTGTATTTTAAAGTGGTGATCTTGCTAGTTCCTTAGAACAACAGATAGCAGTGAATAAGTTGCAAGGGCTTGGGCACGTGCAACGTATGCCTGGTCACCGTTTACCTAGGAAGGTCTTGTTCAGTCTGCCAGGTGCAGGGTGGCGCAAGGCTCGAGGTGGAGAAAAGTTGACTTGGCAATGTGAAAAGAGGTCACTGACGACCAAACTTGATACCGTCGGTCCGTCTCGCCTTCCAGACTGGTGTCCGCGTGACTCGCCCTGTGCTTTGCTCCAGACTTTACAGGATATGGCTCGCAACTGACACCAATGGTGCGTCTGCTGCCGTTTCCTAATCGGATTGCCTGTTTAAAGTGTGTTTGCTGCTGAGTTATCTGTGGGTAATGGCTGACTATGACGCGGCACAGTGAAAGTCGCGAGAAAGCTGTCTCACTGACGTCGCCTTATCTTTGCTCGATATTCAGCTGTTTGTGACGGTATGTTGTTAACACAAGGTGTAGGCGCCTTGACCCTAAGCGTTCGCTTTGGACATTAAGGTTTTCAGGCCTACTATTCTCCCTCTTATTATTCTTCCTTCCGTAGGTCGCCATGGTTGTATGGCAGCGAAGCATCAGTTCAAATGACTGATATGCTGCTGTTGATGATTGATTGAAGATGAAGAGCGTGGTTGTATGCTGATTGCAACAGACACGCGGCGCAGAATAGGAGGTAAATGTGGAAAGAACAACTTGATCTGGGAAATGCCAATCACAATGTTTTGTAAATCTACATTACAGTAAGCGACTTCTATTCCGTAGAAGATTACAGAAACAGGGTCACTGGAACTGCGAAACTGGTTCCATTATAACCACTTTATTTGCCCACCGCTTTCTCCACAATCCTTCATCCATTGCATCTTTGGTTGGATTCCTCAGTTAATGACATACAAAAATTAAAATCGAAACATGGACCTTGCGTTTACCAATCGTCGTCCTTGCCACTTGAGTATGAAATGCTCCGAGTATTGGTTTTCAAAATGATGAGGACTTCGGTTCCGAAGGACCAGGGCACAATAAACCACATGTCTGAACGCGGTGTTTGTCACTGTTCCGGTGGTTTAACTAACAAGTTAGTCGTAGTTCAAGACAAGTGTGTTCCTCGGTCTAGGAACACAATGACTGCTCTAATCTCAGGAGCTATATTCATGTACTGCACTCTGCTTGGGGCGTTTTACGTTCACTTATACTCTGTAATCATAACAGGGATTTTTTGGGTATTTCATGAAGATACATCGCAGTTCGACCCAGGCAGACAGACACCATACATCCAGGAAAGCGTTAGACGGCCGTTTCGTCCTATTGGGGCTCGTCAGTATCGCACACTCGCCGAAGCTTACCGGATTCCAAATCACGACCTTACTCTCATGAGCCAGTGATTTATGCCACTGAGCCATGGGTAACGGCAGTAGACCACATGACTAATATTTAGCTGTGATATAGCGCGGCTCACCCTGCACTGTCAAGCACGTTGTGAACATGCAGACGAAAAATTTTTGGGACTGTTTGATGAGTACACTGCATTCCTTTGGTTGTACACGAATCAACACCCTTTGCGAAGCATTGTGAAGCGCCTAGTTATAACTTGCACCCCATAGCATAAGTATGGGCCCAGCAATTCAAGGAGCTTGGAGAGTGATGGAAGGGTTGTTAACAGAGTAGCATCTCGCTTCACATCTTGTGAACACCTCGTTTTTTGATCACGGACTGAAGAGCAGAAAGCCTGACAAAGTCTGTGAATCGCTTTTGCTCAACACGGATCGGTTTAAATTAGACAAAACACTGATGTCCACTTATAGACGGATATGTTGCGCATTTAGGTACGGGATGTGCATTGACAGTGCGTACTTGAAGAAGCATCCCGTTTATTCTGAGCTGCGAACTGGAAGGTGCCTGCGTGCATGCTTTGTAAGAACATACTGTCGAATTGATGACGCCCACCTGAACTATAGCGACCATATGTACGTAAATGCTTGGTAAACTTAGTGAAGTTTAAAAGAATTGAACAAGCTTCAATTCCTTTAGCTGCGTTTGCTATCGCAAAACCACGGGCCAAACGTCGATGTTGAATACACTGCTGCTGGTATCACGCCAAAGTTCCACGGTAAAACAGTATACGAGTAGTTCATCCATACGATACGTTCATTATTGTCTCAGATCTAGCCAGTTACATTCAATTCCGCGGCGTATACTATAAACCGAAATCTGGCCTTATCCTAACAGACACCTGCAATGGAGGAAACATGGGAACTAAATAATCTACATCCAATGTGGACGTACAGATGTTACGTGTTTTCTCACCTTTCTTCAGGGCCATTATTGTTGGGGTCCCACTTTACTCCACCTGGGCGCTTCCGCCATCTAAAGGAGGGTCGACTGAATCGATTTTCTGATGCAAACTACTGACGTTGGTTTGCTGACCTAAGGATCTGTCTCGAGAAGTCATAGGAGTCTAAGATAAGTAACACTACCTGCCGTACTGTGTACACAATTATTTGTGATTTGTGTCTACATTTCCACCACGTTCATAGTCGTTAGGTGCGTCACACACGAATTCCTGCTTAACCATGAGACACTGCGACCTTGCATCTGACGACGCCAAGGCCATGCAAGCACAGCTGATCCAAAGCAGTGCAGTGTAAACCGGAAAATCACAAGCAGCCCTCGTGCGCTCAGTGCACTCGCGTTTGCACAACAGTCAGTCTGCTTGCAAGTGAACAGCGTCATACATTTGACGCCAAAGACAGACGAAAAATATCAAGAAAACTGTATGATCCATTCGTATGTTCCAAGTAAACCTTTAATTCGTGCTGAGCCTTGTAAAAGGTCTATCTGGCACAGAGACGGGGAACTTCGTCCCTCAGTGTTTCAGCTGGAATATATAATCCAGCAAAGCCGCGAATTGCTAAAAGGCAAGTGCATCGAATCAAGTTGTTATGGTTTATCCTTTAACCCCTCAGCACACGGGATTGACAGCCGCTTCACACATCTGATCAGAACGCTTAACATCGCAGTAAACGACGATGCTTCGTGACTTTAATTCAGATTTGCCGTCTCACTTTTGCATATAACCTCGTCCACTGAAATGGAATTGTAACTTTATTGTGTCACTATTACACGCTGTCTTTCTTTGAATCAGTTCTACCCTCATTCCCTGTCTGTCGTTCGGAGAGCAAGCCATGTACAATCAAATACCGAACGAACCGGGTACTCGTCTGAGGAGATTCCAAGATTGGTTTGAAAGTGTCTGTACGTTCTCTCCTCCTTTATTCTACGCACGAGGGCTGATTCCATACCGAACGCCGGTAAACACTGTTGGTGAGTAATAGTTAGTACCCTTTCTCACTGATGAATGCAACGGGTGAAATGGACTTAGCTGTGGTCTAGTTCGAATTTGTGTCAACCACAAATATAACATCACGAAGTGCAAATCGGAATGTTTGGAGTGTTTCGATCACTAGCTGTAATCACCCAAACAAAGTAATACTGCTTTGTTTTGAAGAGTAAAACTGACGTAGAGTTAGCAGCTGGAATAAGAGAAAATAAACGGTAAGCATGTGTGAAGCATACTCATGATTTAGACAAACGTGCGTCACTGCTGCAGATGTTTTCTATCGAGCCCATTCAGCCATCCAAACGCTTTCCAGCTAATCATCCGAAGCATACATCTGGGTGGAAATAAACTTAGTCTTAATTTACTGCAGTCTTCGTGTTTTGCATATTGTGCTATCCACTAGCTATGGGCGCGTAAATAAATACTTTTCCCAACACTGAGCAACATCGAAACACCTCCATTTCGGATACCGTCTTTGTGATCGGAATGACTGAGGTCGCAATAGAGATTGGGTGTCTCAATCCAACCACACGGCGGGTACTCCAAATCCAAGTTTGAAATATGCTTTTATTTTCAACTATACGATGCCCTTGAGGTACGCTAATGGGAATTCAGTGACGTTCATTGCATGGATCATAGGCTGATCAGAAAACTGCAAATGATGATCAGTTATTGGCACTTGAAGACACATATATTGTGGTTAATAACGACAAGATTTAGGGTGTACGGCCGGATGTTTGACAAAAGCACTCAATGAATTTGTTGCAAGACAATAGAGCAAATCCCGAATAAATAGTTGTTTCAAACAGTGGTACGAAATATAAGGTTTTGAAGTGTTTTCACGGGTGAAGGGACAGTACACTCGGAAATCCCAGATTATGTTCCCGTGTTAACCATCTATTCGCGTCTAAACCAAAAGCCTGTTATTCGCAGTCTATTCGTCTCTACTTTTTAACGGTTTCTGTTGGCTTGTTGTTATGCCCTGGAAGATGACGAACGGGAGCTCGGTTATTCTACAGTTGAGGCTTAAAAATTCTTCTTCAGAAATCCAACGAGGATACTTGGAGAAAGTGCTTTGAGCAACAAAGTTTAGAATATTCGGCCCGCTTCACATTAACTAGGTGGATATTGTATGCAGTTTGGTGCAACGCCAAGTAAATGAAAATCGGTCCAGGCTAAAGATACTGTGCGCCATCCAGATAAATCAGTAGTGGCGAATATTCTTGAAGGCTTAGCCCGCTGACGAGGTGGCAGTGATGTACGGCAAGGTAAAACAGGATAATAATAATAATAATAATAATAATAATAATAGTAATAATACTAATAATAATAACGACTTGCTAGAGTCCACAGCTGTTTCCCTTCCATAGTTTAGAGAATGAATGGTAATCCGGAGAAGTTACATGATAAAATTTTTTCTTGAAAGTATTAACCCCATGTGAGGTGGATATAGTTGCGATCATGTTAACACCGGGTAGTGTATGCCTGTAATAATGTTCTTCCGAAAAAAGAGAAGGTCGACTCAAATTGTTTAGACCACATGGAAAATGATTCCAAAATTACATTATTGCCGGTAAGGTAAGTAGACATGACAAATTGTAATCGTTCATCAGATTTTAAGTGAATATTACGTGTGTTTTGCGAAAGTTGGAGCTCCGTTCGAGTGACTGCCACTAGGTCGTCCCGGTGATTGAGTTACACGTAAATTTCATTGGTACCCTTTGTCAGATCAAGAGGAATTTTGCGATATGTATACTTATATGTATTTGTATATTTATATTTATAAATTAACCAACGTGCTTAGAATGCTTGATAAAAGCATTTCCACCAGAGCCAGATCAACAAACCTTGCTGGAACTGGATACCGGTACTACAAACATGCAATTAGACATTACCAAAATGCCCGGAGCTTGCTAATTTGAACGTCCAGCGCGACTCCTTACTGGCATCTTGCAATTCTTTCCAGCTAGCTAGCAACTGTGGCTTCAAATGACGAATACATAAACTATTGACATCTTAATAAATGGCCATTTATGTAATGTAATGAGTGTTTCAAGGGATGACCAATGGAAAATTGCGGCAAATGGGTGCGAGGTAAACAGAAATCCAGTAGGGTGTTTCACGCTTGATCATATACACTAATGTTTCAGCGAGGTGAGTTCACTAATATTTTTGTTTATCGATTTATTTTTCTTATTCAATTGCTCGCACAAAAGAAAACTGACAGCCGCCAGACCACATCTTATTCTAAGAAGCACATAACAGTTACTCACTGTAGTTTTCATTCAATTTCATTAGTTTTCTTTACTTCTCCTGGTTGTTCACGACTGGACCGACTTCCCGTGGTGATGGGTTGGAGCCACTAAGCTAATTAATTAAAACTACGCAAGACGAATCGACACAGACCCACTGACAAGAACAAAGTATGGACTCGAAAAATGAGTCTACATGTAGACGGCCTATCACTTAGAACCTCAGCCAAGAAAAGTGTCAACATGGTGACGACTTACTTACCTTTAAATCACATCAGCAGATGGCCAGACAAGGTGTGGAATTGAGGATGAAACCTCGGGAGGGAGTACCCCGCATGGAAGCAGGCACACAGGAGACAGATTTCCGGATGGGCGTATAACTTTACCTGAACTGCTCGCTATACCTACATTTGTCCCTAAGCTCTACTTTCGGTATTTTATTACTTTTAAATAATTAAACATCACAAAACTTTCTCCGAGGTACGCCTTGTTAATCTCAATAACTTGCTCTACTATCCAAGCATGATATACATAATGTGTCAGCTGTACGCCGTAATCGCGCTTCGTTGGCGCGCGACCCCCAACTGTCGCGGGTGGGCTGAGTAAACCACGAGGACGCCCACCTCTACGCGGATCCTAAGCGGTGACTTTATGATTGCAAGCCAGGTGTGCAGACCACTCGACAGCAAAGAAAGCGGCAAGAGGGTTTACAAACTTGACTGTATTTGGGGTAGCCCTTACACTGACCATGATGAGAAAAGCTGTTGACCAGGACTCTGGATCCCGTTTCGCGGGACTTATTTTTTGTGGTCTGAATCACTTGACACTTCGATCGTTCGGCGCCTGCTCGACTGTACCATCTGCAATAGCCCTCAGGAATCACACAACAGTTTCAGTAGACCAAATACCTATATATGCTCCAGGTTGTTGTAGTTGCAGCCATTAGACGACAGGCTCAACTTATGCAAACAACTTGACTTTGTGGCCAGCCTAGATTTTCACTGGCAAGGCTAAATTCTGTCACTTGAAGCCATGACCTCGGATGTAACAGTTTCCGACTGATCGGTCGCATCGATCCCCTTACAATGGCATCTGTGGTAGCTCCAACAGCAAGTTCCAGTCATGTCTGTCTCACATCGCAGCCTGTAAATGATTGGATGAGCGCGTCCGCCTAGTGCTCTGTTTCCATTAGTGGACTCCGCCCGTAACGATTCAAGACCCTGCTTGCCCAGGGGCCTAGTGTGGGTATTGAAACACAACATTGGCGTAGCGGCTGCCAACTGATACACTGTCATTCCATCTTCACCTCCGGACGCATTCTGGTGTGATTCAAGTGTCAAACCTACTAAGAGCGACTGGGCTCAGCAGAAAACATCTTTTACAAAGTACTTGGGCTTACTACATTCAGCTGCTACTTACAATGAAACCCGAAAGTTGAACCTACTCCGTCACCTAGTTGGAAATGAGGACCAACATTACTTCGACGCACTGGAAATACACAACCTGGACACGCTCACAAAGGTGTTAGATGTACCGGATGAATGTTGGGGCGCCCGATCTCATGTCTTTGCTGAACGTTACAACTTCTGCCGTTTGAGACAACTGGCTCCGAACCGCTGGAACATTTTGTTTCCCGCTTGCTCCGTGCAGTAAAACTTACGATTACTCCAACATTCCAACGAATAGAGTTGTAGAGCTTATGCTGACACACAATTAATAGCCGGCATTATTGATAAGCGCATACGAGAATCGCTACTTTAAGAAGACCTCTCGAAGCTTTCCTGGGATAGAGTTGTAGAGATGGTTGTGCTCAAAACAACTGCCCTTGAACAGTTACGCCTGTTCACCACCAAACAATAACTCGATATCAGCAAGCTTCGGAGCACGAACTCTACGTCATCTCAGCATGTGACCGTTTTGTGCCTTCGATGTGGAAGTTCTCGACACAAAGCAGGTTGTCAAACATGTACAGTAGATTACCAAAACTGTAATCAGTATGGCCATTTCGCCCAATGTTGTCGCACCCGCCGCGTAGCACTAGTTGAACAACCATCGACTAAGACTCCTACAGCGTCTACCACGGAAAATATTTTTGCTGTTAAAGAACCTCACCAACCGGACAATCGGCAAACATACTTGATGGAGCTCAATCTCCCCTCCCCTGACATTCGGGCAGTTATTGTCCATGACCCCTACACCACTGTGCATCACCAATAACAATCATTTCATCTAACCTTTAGGACAATTGCTTACATGTCCTTCCATTCCATCCACTTCGTACAAGTTTGACTCTCACACCAACGACCATGTGTGCATCCGTGGATATATAGGGATGAAACTTAGTCTACACAAGGTCGCCTCCAACGTTGCTGTGTACGTAGCATCCGAAGACAGCGCAGCCTTGCAGGGGCGAAATGCTATGGTTGCTCTTAACATAACGCCATCTATGGATAAAATTCGCATTGTGGCGCTCTGCCTGAGTGCTTAAAAGTTTATGTCCCAAATTATTTACTGAGACGATTGGCCAGATTCCATCTGCCGCTCATCACATATACATTAAACAGGACGCTAAGCCGTTTTCTATATCGCAGCCAGGTCCATTGGCGAAACGTGCGATGGTGGAGAAAGCCAAACAGGAGCTGGTATCGAACGGTCTGGTAGAGCCAATTAACTGTTCCGAGTGGGTGTAACCCATGGTCACGGTTTTAAAGAAGGACGGTACTGTGCGCATATGCAATGACTTGAAGACGCTGAATAGTCAGCTAGTCGCCGAAAAGTTCGTTTTTTCACAGTTGCTAAGTTGTTAATCAAAATAACTGGCGCACAATTTTTCTCAAAATTAAAACTGAAGATGGCTGTGTTCCACATAACACTAACACCAGAATCGCGACCACTAACGGCCTTTCTGACATCGAGCGGTCTGTTCCAGTATAAAGTTTTTCCAATGGTGCTCTATCCTGCTCCCGCAGCTTGGCAGAAGTTCATGAATCACTAGCTAGCAAATCTACCGGGACAAGGTGCTTACATGGATGATATTTGCGTTTTCATGCCTTCAAGAGTAGAGTACGATTTAAGGCTACAAGCTGTATTACACTTGTTGGACAGCCCAGATCTTCGGCTTAATCTTGATTAGTGCAAATTTTGTGTTACTGAAGTCGAATTTCTTGCGTGTATCTTAACATCAGGTGAAATCCGACCATACGCCGCTGATAATCGGTCTATCACTGAAGCCCCCATACTGAAGGTTGCGGCTGTGATTAGGCATTTTCTTGATCTATGCTCGTACGACTTACACTATTTGCCCGATTTTGCTACTCTAGCGGAGCCCTTGAGAATTCTGAGAGAGGAAAATGCCACCTTCGATTAGGGCTCTGAACAGCAGTCTGCTGGTCATTCTCAATGCAAACTGTCCTATGTTCGTCTCGATGGATGCGTCAAAAATCGGTTTAGGAGCGGTCCTGTCGCAGATGCAGAACGGAGAGGAAAAAGTAATTGCATATGTTGCTAGCAAATGATCCTTTACAGAGGTTTCATACTCCGCCGGTGTAAGGGAGACCATCGCCCTGTGTTTGGGCCTGTGAAAAATAACACCTATTCCTGTTTGGTCGGAGATATACAATGCGTACAGATCAAGATGCTCTAACTACCCTCCTCAGCCGAGGAGCCAATGGTCCCAAGCCACTGCGGATTAGCCGCTGGTATGCGCGTTTACTGAAGTATGTTTTTCAAATCACATTCCTCCCTAGCTCCGAAAACCATATGACAGATAGCTTTGCAGGTCTTCCAGTAGACGATTCGGATAAGAATGAGGACGTCGAAGAAAATGTCATGGTTTCCGCTTTACATTCAAGTAAGCGTTCCGCCGTAACAAGCAAGAGCTTCAAGAAGTTAAGCAAAGTGACCTAAATGCACAGGCTGCTTTCCGCTTTCCCTCTCTCTCTCTCTCTGTCTCTCTCTCTCTCTTTCTCCCAAGCCTAGCTACACGAAGCTCAGTGGTGAACTACGGACGTTGGATGTTTTACGAGACGAGTTAGCGGTCACTGATGGTCGCCTTACGCGATAGTCGAGATTCGTGGCTCCACAGATACTAACGCCAAAAACTATCCAACGTGCACACGGGGATATCCGAGTATCGTAAGAACGAAGTGCCGACTGCGAGAAAACTTTTGTTGGCCGATTATGACCAAAATAGTAGAGGCGTGTGTCCGGTCTTGCGATGCGTGTCAGAATGCCGACAAGAACTCTAAGCCTATCGAGACGCCCATCCAACTTATGGTTTATCCAATGAAACTTTGTCGAATGTGGCGATTGACATTATGAGACCATTCCATTCTGCATCGCAACACCAGAGAAACTGTTTGGGGGCCACGTGCTTTTACAGTAAGTGGCCTGAGATTCACCTTTGTGGCGAGGTGAACACTTCAACCGTTATAAAATGGCTAAAGCAAAAGTTTGCTAGGTTTAGGCTTCCCGAAGAAATTGTGACGGACAACGGACCGTAATTCACAATCTAGGAGTTCTGACATTTCTTATAACTTCACAATGTGTAACACGTATGAACTGCCCCGTACAGTCCAGCTTGAGCGCACAAATCGCTCTGCAAAATATGCAGACAGTATGTTTGTCCGGCATGCATTGAGATGCCGTAGTCGAATCTCCGTTTACCCACAGGACGTCGCACCACAGTGCGACCGACTGCATGCCAGGGGAGCTAATGTTCGGTGGGAATATACGCACGAATCTAAACGCAGCTATTTCGGCTACGGAAAATGGCGATGTCCACCAAATGAAGCGTCGCCGATGCTATCATACCTCTTGCGAAAGGCAATCCATACCGCTACGTCCCGGAACGTTAGTCCGACTAAATAAAAAGCAGACAAGTAAAGAGAAGCCAGAATTAGCGCGCCTAAATGGAATCTCTCGGAGCTTAGGACCAGGAACGTACATGCTTGCAGACGGCCACCATATTAACGTCAGACAGCTTTACTCAGCCCTTCCACCGAAGGCCGGATCAATGTCCAGAAACGAGGGCCAATGCAGTGGGTCTAACTGCTCATTTGTCACTCCTGCTGATGCGCTCATTTTGGGAGGTGATGTGGTAGCACCTGCCGCAAGTTCACTCATGTCTGTCACACATCGCAGCCTGCAAATGATTGGATGAGCGTGTCCACCGCGTGTTCTGTTTCCGTTAGTTGGCTCCGGCCATAGTGATTCAAGACGCTGCTTGCGCAGGGGCCTTTTATACGTATTGGGGCACAACAGCATCCATTTAATCCTGCCGTTACATGTGCGTAATCCGCTGTTTAGGGACACGTGAAATTAGCTGAATTCGCGATGTTTCGTTGTAAGTTTGTTCTCGCCATAGTAACCGCTATGAGAAAATGGTTGCACGGTACCCTTACCGACTCTTTCTGTGTTACGCAGCAGATGTTTATCTCCTCTGTTTTCAATTTTACAGTTGGGGCACCAATTCCGTGCAAACGCATCGAGGATCCTACGCCGAAACAAGTTTGTGAGGTGAAGCAAATGTACTTGGATAGCCTGCAAGGCCTGTTCTGGAAGTACAAATCTGTTTATGATCCAAAGGCCGAAGATATTGTTTTTCTTTAGATTTTAATCGACTCCAAATTCCATGAATCTTCCGCTAGCCGTTTGGATTTAGACATCTCTTATTCTTTCGATGATTTCATTGGTGGTTCTTCTGTTTTGTCTCACATATTTTGTCGTTGCCAAATGCATCCGGTGCGTCAGATGGCAGATTATAATTTTAGCAAGCGAAGTCGGCCGAGCGTTTGCAAGTATATATAAATACAAGGAAAGTATACCGTGCTTGATACATATGATGGACGTAAAAGTATATCGAACGCATTAGAGAAGTAAGCGCCGCTGAGGACGACACCATTTGTGTAGTTGTGATATAACCTCATTTTCTCAACGATTATTGTGGTACGCAGTTTGATACTTGGGCTGACACAAATCGAAAGTCTATCGAGCTCGAAGTAGGTGACGGGACAATAGAGTGATCTAATTTTCAAACGCATATTATTTGCCACCTTATTGGAGACCATTAGTGTATATTTAAATCAGTGAGGTTACTGCATTCTTCAGGGTCGGTGTGAAGTACACCTGTATTCTTCAGCCATGTAATAGCTTCCATTGCATTTAGCTGAGTTCGAAGAGTTAACGGATTGTTATTCGACTTCAAGACGTCAAGATACGCAAGATCTTACAGCCTTGGCGACGAAAGTTAGAATCCCATTCGGAACACTGGAATAAATCGAATTCTGTTTTAGCCGTAGGAAATTGCCCAGACAATTCATGATTGCACCGATAATGTTGTAATGCTCAACATCTTGCCTATACTGTTTGTTTGCTGCCTTGTACATTGGGGACGACAAGCTTTTTGACATCAGATAAAACACGAAAAAGTTCTTTCGGTATACTCTTCAAAGAAAGAGAAGCAATGCAATTGTGTTTGCAGGTAAAGCACAGGAACACAAAGTTAATAACAGGCAGTAAATTGAACGGACGATGTTACTCAAGCAACACCATTGATGGTTGCATGGTGCATTTGCAGACTCATCCGGGTTATTTGCCCGTAACTGAGAACACAAGCACAAATTGCCACGTCAATTCGAAGTAATGTTTTTCGCATAGGCCCATGATAATGGAAGGTCTCCAGCGAGCTGAATCCCTGAATGTGCAGTCGAAATAAAAGCAAGAGATGGATGGATAACAGAGAAACAAACAAGGTTGGTGCTTGCACGATGAGGTTTACCTGTCATGCTTTCCACTGTTGCCAACTGCAACAAATTTTAGTAATCATCAAAATGAAGAGCACTTGGCTGTTAGCTACGAATGATGTCCAGTTACTTCGCTAGACTTCCAGCAACAACAGATTGAATTAATCAAGGACAAGGTATTCCCGCGACAGCTAGGATATCACAGTTCCAGCCAGCTTCAGTCGACTTTGTTGAGCGGAATAACGTTTATTCTCACATCACACAAACCACTGCCCGAAGTTGCTGGAATACGCTGGTCTGTCTTTCACCTTAGTTACTCAAGACTTAGGATGACAGTATTGCAATCGCCCTACCGCCAATTTAAAATGGTAAGCATGCAGCTCTAGTAGTAAGCTGGTAAATGGAGATCAGGCAAGGGTACTCTGAAGCGACCACAGGCATGTCCGCAGTTTAGTTGGTGTAGTGTATGTACATAGAGTGAACAACACCCCACGCAGTACATCGGCAATAGGATGCCAATGCCAGCATTTTTATACAACGATGAGGGACAGATCACCGATCCTATTCCTCACGTTGACTCTTTGATAGTATCAAATTTGTCTTTGGTCCACAGTAGTTGTTAAGTCCAAAGAGAACTTTGATTAATCAGTCAAACTAGATTATCTATTTGAGGACATGATATCCGCATTCCCGAACCCTTCCCTTATTGCTTTGCAGAAAGTTACACTTTTCTTCGAACATGTATTATGAAACTCTTTAGGTTATCACTTTGCACCATTGGCATATGCTTGATTTATCAGAGCTGTATTTCATCTCTGACAGACTACCCACTAGCAGAAGGCTACGCTGTTCCGTTTCCGCAAGCTGCCGCACACCTTTCAGTTTCCACTTATCCCATTGCGATTGCAAACCTATTCGTTAGTGGATTACTGTCTTTGATTTATGTTACAGAACCACGGAAACAGGAATTTACGTGTTATTTTCTCTGCCCAAACTGCGTCCATTCATCGTGCATGTAAAACTGCGGTTCTAAAGTGTTCTTTTCCTTTGGTGGAGTCTTTACGACCTGCTGTTGGCTAATCACCGTTTCACATCCTGAGACTTCCGTACTACGGATAACTGGCGAAGTAGTGTCTTCCTTTAGCAACCACAACTTATTCATTGATGTGATGCTACAGGTAGCTGACTGAAGTGTTGGTCAAAATCGGTAAGGCGCTTAGCCAGCGTACTCCTCAGTTCGATGTTCTTCTGAACAGCACCGATTCATGATAGGCGATTAATACATGGATTTACAAAACTAATGTACAGTTTGGTTCACACAAACTTATGCTTAGCCTAGCACGGCTCTACGCCGTACACGTGTCATGCGCACGTCACGCAGCGGATGCACATGACCGGGAGCAATGGAGTTACATCCGCCACGAAATCTCCCTCAATAATATCATCGCTAAGCGGTTGACCAGGATTCCATTTTCACCCAACTACAAAGGGAACGGTCCCAGACTTATGAAGGGGGTGCTTCAATCAGAGTTTATGTTACCGCTCGCCTTGGAAAACTGGTCCAAATTCCGCATGAAGCCGCCAGCGGAAATTCGGTTAAAGGCATCAGGTACGCTGCCACGGATTACCAACGACTCACGGGGAGCGATCAAATTGTTGAACCATCCACTCATGCAACTTTGTGAAGGCATGGATTTATCAACAACCGCAATATCCCACGAAACACGGCTGAACACGGGGGACCAGCAGGGCCCGGAAGGCCGCGATCAGTCGTCTAACCGAAAGCAAACTCAAAGGCAAACGTCACCACAAAAAATCGGTTAATGGCCGACCCGTTAACGGTCGGCACAAACTCCATTTCTACCACAACCTGTGCTAGCTCACTCTTGGTTACAAAAGCACTATCCTGCATGTATACTAATGCACAAGGCCTCATAAGTAAGTTGGTAGAACTCCGTCACCGTTTGGCTTCGGAGCCTCGAGACATCATAATGATCACCGAAACCTGGCTGAGCGGCGAAATCACAGACGCTGAGATTGCCATACCGGGTATGTCACTTCTCCGGAACGACAGAACGGGCAAGGGCGGTGGCGTGCTCATTTATTTCCGAACGAACCTTCGTTGTGAGCTCATAGACGATCCCCAGACTTGTGTCACCGACGTCCTTTGGTGCAAACTGTGGTTGGAACGCAACGACGTATGCCTTCTCTCTGTGGTTTACCGACCACCGAAATCCACTCCGGAAAGGGACAACAGACTTATCTCCGCTTTTCGCTCCGTGCTTAATCAGAAGTACAGCCACATCCTCGTTGCAGGAGATTTCAACACCCATGACTTGGAAAACCCAGCATCCGAGACAGAGGTGTTCAAGGCATATTTGCAAGAGCTACTCTCTAGCACCTTCTTGTATAACCACGTCACCGTTCCAACCAGGTTCAGAACAGGAAACAACCCAGCGATATTAGATCTAGTGCTCACTAACGAAGAGCTCATGGTCGATGGACTAAAGGTGTGCAGTCCTTTGGGCCGTAGCGATCACGTGACTTTGCAGTTCGATTACATCTGTTACGCCAAATATCCAGCTGCGGAGCTCGAAACGAGGCAATCTGTTATCCATTACCACGTTCTGTCTGCCTTAGTTGAGAATACCAGTTGGACGTTTCTAGCTAACTGCACCCCAGAACTAGCCTGGGAGACATTTGCGAACACCATCACGTCACTAGTCATAGAAGCCTCAACACCAAAAGTTTCCCAACATCCCCGCACAGCGAAATCATTCTTGCGAAGTCGGACGCGAAAATGCATGACTCTAAGGGATCGGGCATGGCGCACTTATAAAAGCAACCCCAGCGCAGAAAACTGGACGGAATACGTTTCGCATCGCAACTACTGTGTGCTTTTGGTTCGTGAAGACAAGAGAACGCATCAGCAGGAGCTAGCCAAACGATTCTGTTCGAACAAAAAGCTTCTTTACAAACATGTGAATGGACTTCGCAAGGTGCAACGGGGAATTCCACCACTTAATACGACCAATGGGTATACACATACTGCGAAAGAGGCGGCCAACGCATTACGGGCCCAGTACTCCCCAATCTTCCAAGGTGTACAAGCCTCGACGTATATTCCGCCACTAGTTACCCCACCGTCCGTTTTATCTAACGTCACGTTCACTGCAGAAATGGTGCTGCAAAAGCTGCTATCCTTGCGTCCACACAGCTCTCCCGGGGTCGATAACATTCACCCGAAAACATTACAGGTAGCTGCCATCCACTTGGCCGAACCACTAGCTGCATTTTTTCAGCGCTGTTTCGATGAGAACATCGTACCTTCGAGGTGGAAACAAGGTGTAATAACGCCCATATACAAAGCAGGAAGTCGATCGGATCCTGTCAATTACCGCCCCGTAACGCTTCTGCCTGTGATCGCCAAAGTCATGGAAGCGGTGATAGCAGATGCGTTAATGGGATACTTGGAAAACTACGGCATAATTGCGCCAGAACAGCATGGGTTTCGTCAACATCGTTCATGTACGACGAATCTGCTGATAGCTCGTGACAACTGGACCGAGACTGTCGATGAGGGAACAGGAGTCGATGTTGCATTCTTGGACTTTTCGAAAGCCTTCGATCGCCTGGACCATCGAATCCTGCTCGTTAAACTCCAACAGTACGGTATCGGAGACCTGTTGTTAGGATGGATCGGTAACTTTCTCTCTGAACGGCAGTTAGTAGTTAGAGTTCGATCATCCTTTTCCGATCCGATTCGAGTGGGATGCGGCGTACCGCAGGGTTCGGTACTTGGGCCTCGTTTGTTCCTGCTTTTCATTAACGATCTAGTAAGAGTTATTACGTCGAAATTCTTACTCTTCGCGGACGACCTCAAGGTTTGGCGGGCGATAAAACGATCGGACGACCATGAAGTCCTACAGCGTGACTTGAATGAGGCCTGGAATTGGTCGGTGAGAAACGCCCTGCCGTTTAATGTGGACAAATGTCGCGTTGTTCATATCCGCCATCGACAAGTCCACGTCTACAAGCTTGGG